TATATGGCTGTTTGGGGTATACCATTCTCCAATCCTTCAAATTTAACCAAGAAAACAAAAAAAGTAAAAGGTATTACTAAGGGTGGGCATTTGAGTTAAGAATGTGTCAAAATTAAAAGGAACCAAACAAACAAAAAGCATTCTATTAACTGGGAAAGTGGTCCAGGCACAATACTCTCAGTTTAGTTCTACAAATGGACCACACTTCTTGCAAGGGGTTTTGCTTGGGCTACTTCCTGGGCTTATAGCCAAAGAAGGGACATGGGTCCACCTAGAGAAAGGTATAGTGACAGAGGGCATTTACCAGTAAGGTGGGAGGAGTGGCATCTCTTCCAGTTTGAGCAGCTTCTTCTCAACCCCAAACTATAGGACAGACAAAACAATCATCCAAACTTCCTCCTGGTTCTTACCTGGGCTCTGGTCACAAAGCACGTCATGATATGTAGCTGGATAGATAGGTAGATGATAGATAGATAGATAGATAGATAGATAGGCAGACAGACAGCCAGAAAGAGCTTCCCTCCAAATTCTCTGACTGTCCTCTTTCAATTTAAGTTCCTCCACATTAAACTAACCTTGTGACAAGATACCCTACAGAAGCTAAATACGTTAAAACCACACTTCTAAAGCCACCGGAGTCCCAGCCCTGCAAAGTGCTTCAACCTGCAATGAGGTCTTCAGTGAACACATCTTGGCCCACGTGTCAGAAGCAAAATTGACAAGGTCAACCTGTATAACTGAATCAAAGGCAAAAGCACAACCACAATAATTTGCTGAGACTTCCCAGACTTCACTCATTTGGCCAGACAGCTAACCCACAGACACAGCCAGCCCCCGGGGACAGCAGCCTATGGGAGGGGTCACAACTGTCAAGGATGCCAAGTCACCCCCTGGCAAGACAGCGTATAGTCACAAGACCCAACCAGCATCCCATCACAGGCGGCTGCTGGGCGATGAGGCTGAGGATGAAACACTTCAAAAAGCCCAAGTGGGGGCTTCCCTGGTGGCGCAGTGGTTGAGAGTCTGCCTGCCGATGCAGGGGACGCGGGTTCGTGCCCCGGTCTGGGAGGATCCCGCA